TACAATTTAAAAAATACTAATGAAAGGTATGAACCCTTAATGCAAATTACCATAAAAATTCGGTAATTGCTGGCAAATGTGTATTCGGCTCATACGCACAATTTTGGGTAGTTTATACTTTTAGATGATGTAATTTCAATGTAATTTCTTTTTTGCATAGTGATTTTTGAGTGACTGTAAATCGCGTATCTCAATGATATTTTTCAGTTATGAGTTATTAAGGATCACCATGCAAAAAAATTTCGTGTACAACACGTACGTTGAAAGTGTCTTTTTTTCATGAATTTGCTGAAAAACCGAAAAATACCTAGCCAAAAATCTCAAAAAATAATTCGTTCTAAAATAATAGCAGCATTAAATACCCAAAATGACAGAAATATGCTCTTAGGCGATTTATTAGATAGATTTTATAAAGGATCAGGTTCCTAAATATGATGGAATTACGGAGGAGGCTATTTCTTGGCTTATTTTATGACTAAAAGTTCATATAAACATATAGGTCCACAAACGCTTCGTTACCACGAGCTACAGAGGGTGTTCAAATTTCAAAATGTTTTAAGTGTTTTCTTAATATCTCCTTCAGTTTTTGAGATATTTCGTTCAAATTTGAAATATAAGTTACGCCGAAGGCCTTACACAATTAGTCATTGGCAGAATCTACAGGTCTACTTTCCTTGTGATGCTTAAAACAATATTTATATCCAATATGGTGTAAAAATGAAATAGAATGAATGATGATAGGTACTTCAGCAATTTATAAATAAAATAATATAAGTTCATTGGGTTTATGAAATTAATTAAATTATCCCATTAATTGGATTCATTATACTTAGGTAACCTACAGTGTACCCTTTGTAACTTTTACAGGTGACAAAACCCAAAAGTAGCATACAAAAACACTACTTTGTCACAAAGCTGGACGTAGCAATGCAGTTCATTGATTGGCTATCGTCGACAACCGAAAGAATCAACCAATGCATAACGAACAACAAAAAGGAGGGCTTACAAGTTCTACAATCATATATTCCTCTGGTAAGCCAGCTAAAACAATTTTAAAATCCTACTATACCATATTAAGTCATTTCATCAGTCATTCTTTGTGCTGCTACAAGCCAGAATCCATCAAGACGAAAAGCAACATAACTTCTACACGTGCACCGATTCGACTGGAATTACATACATCATTCGCAACACTGCATACCTGAAGAAAGTGTTCGACACACCTCAGGTATGTAGAAGAATATTATAAAAACAGTTTAATTGTATTTCGTAGATATCGCTGCAACTCGTTCAAGTGCATGAGGAAATTATCACTCATAGTGATGGCCCTCATTTGTTTCTTGAAGATAAGATATGGTACCTTAAAGTGGGTATGGCGGAAAATGGAGGTCCTTTCACACCTTTTACGTTGAATTGGGCACCGAGTGTTTTACCTATCAGTAATTTTGGAAGGATGGACGTTTTGTTTTATGTTGGATGTCGATGAATATTTACATAAATTTTGCTTATTATTTCCCTTTGTTGCTATATTTAAGTATTAATAAACACAAAAGCCAGTTTCATTGTTCTTTATACGTTCCTGAATACAAGACATTGGTCTGACTTTGAAATATAAAAAGATTCCCTCTCCTCGCTTATCTCTAAAGGTAAAACCTTGGTATAACCCTCCAGACACCTTTTATTGAAAATACACGCATTTTATTTCAAGACATATTTTTGTTTCTGTTCGCTATAAAGCGGTATATGTGTGCATCTTCCTTTGCTTACCAAAATATGAATTCAAAAAATTAGACAACTATTTTCCTTAATTTGAGTTTTTCTCTTAAATTTCATTATGTAATAAGAATAAGTTTTATGCAGCTATATCCAAAAAGGATAGGTACCATAAAAGTCTCTTTAAACAAATGTACTGCGCCATTTTGGTTATTCAGAGTGATGCAGGAAATGGAAATTGTAATTTTTGGATTTTGAGTAAGTTGAAAAGTTAAAACAACAAAACCAGAGCATACTCGTATTTATATTTGAACATTAAAAAAGTAAGATTAAAATAAGGAACCAAAAAATTGCTTCGTCGTGTTGGATATTCAGTGTGAACTTGAGATTTTGACAAACCACTTTTATGACTCAAAAAGTTGCGAACCTTAAATTGAAGCTTAAAAAAGTTTAAATTACTGGATATTAAATTAAAGAAATTAGATTTGTATGGGCTACCTCAGTTCACGCACCTAATAATGCAACACAAACGAATTGTTCAATAGTAATTGATGCCTGATCAGCTATATGGTAAAGCAATTATAATTAAATTACCTACTCCTTGGCTCATTGGATTCATTATATTTAGGTAACATCGACAGTGTGACTTTGTGACTATCATAGATCACAAAACTAGCAACCAGAAGTAGCATAGAAAACACTACTACGAGCTCCTAGCGAGTTTATAATTTTGCGGTGTCTGTTCGTCTGTCCGTCCGTTAGCACGATATCTCGATAACGAATGGACCGATTACGATAAAATTGTGTAGGTGGATTCTTTATCAAATTTGTAGATCGGAGTTCGCGAATTGGCAATGTAGCCCAAAAAATAAGGAAGGCCCTTTTGACATCTCGGTAAGTTGTGAACCGAATTGCATGAAATTCAATATGCGTATAGCTATAGCCATATAAAACGCATCCAAATATTCAGCTTAATCGATCAACATTCACAGTGCCCTTTTCGCATCTCGACCATTTATAAACCGAATTGCAAACTTTTTTATTTATGAAGGTATTTAAATGAAATTTGATACATAGCCACTTGGAATAAGAGCAAATTTAACGCCAGTTTCAAAATTTGGTTTTGCGCATGCGCAGTGCCAACTTTCTTATTTATGGAGTCATTCAAATTAAATTTGATACATAGCCACTTGAAATAAAAGTAAATGTAGCGCCATTTTCCAAATTTGGTTTTGTGTGGGATGTATAGTGCCAACTTTCTTATTTATGGAAGCAATTAAATAAAATTTCTACATATACACTTTAAATAAAAGCAAAACTAACATCAGGTTTAAAATTTGGTTAGCCATATCCAGGAGCTCGTTTTCTATATTTGTTTAGTTTATTTTTTCCTTTAATGACGGTTCCAAGGTATTTGAACCTTTTTTTGCATTATTCATTTATATTTGTGGTTCATTGCGTTCATATTTATTTGACTTTGATTGTTGCTACAAGTCCGTTTATAGTTAGAATTAAATTGTTGAAGTTTTAATAGGTTACTCATTGAATAACATTTTTTTTTGTTCAATGCTTTTGTTAAAATTGTCAGCGATCTCTGCACTTCTTTTCTAGACTTTATGAATAGTTTCATTTTATTTATGAGTTAGTACTAGATATCCGGATCATACTCGGCTAGGTATATATCTGTCTTCTAAAAGGTTATGCGCCCAGTATACCGCATCTGCGAATAAATTTCAAGCATTCAAAAGTTGTCGTTTGTGCAGATAATTTTTTCGAATTGTTTGTCATGAATGAAAAACTGGTGTCGTTCGTCAAGTTGAATGCTTCCAACTATGACAATTGGAGCTTCAAAATGAAGTTATTGTTACTAAAAGAAAAATGTTGGGAGGCTATCAGCAATGAGAAACAGGAACCAGTTACGGTACAGTGGAAATCGAAAAATGAGCTGGCAATGGCACATATTGGATTAGCAGTTGAAGATAACCAGCTGATACATATTAAGAAAGCTGAAACGGCAATGGAGGCTTGGAAAAATCTAAAAAGGGTTCACGTCAAAAACACTCTAAGTACAAAAGTGTGTCTGATGCGAAAAATTTGCCGTATTCGTCTCGAAGAGAAGGGTGATATGGAGACACACATCGCTACGCTAACGGACCTGGTAGAAAGGTTGAATGCAATGCAGGAAAATGCAGTTCTGGATGACCAGTGGTTAGTGGCAATTTTATTTAGCAGTCTCCCTGAGGAATATGAAACTCTAGTCACTGCTCTGGAGGCGAGGCCGGATGAAGATTTGACCCTGGATCTCGTAAAAGGAAAATTGATTGACGAGTGGCAGAAAAGAGTGAATCGTGCGAGTGATGAAAACAGCAACGAGACAGCTTTGCATACTACAACCAGAAAAGAAAATGATAAGTGCTATTTTTGTAAAAAAGTGGATTTTCAAACTCAAGCGAAATACGAATAACGAGGTAATAATGTTCAAGGCACGACTAGTAGCTCTAGGCTATAATCAACAATATGGAAAGGAGTACGACGAAGTGTTCGCACCAGTTGTTCGTCAAACAACATTTCGGGCGCTGATGTCAGTCGCGGCAAAGTGAAGAATGGTCGTAAGGCAGTATGATATAAAAACGGCGTTTCTAAACGGCGACCTTGAGGAGGAAATATTCATGCGACAGCCGCCGGGGTTCGTCGTCAAAGGATCTGAAGACAAGGTCTGTCGTTTGAAACGGAGCCTGTATGGATTAAAGCAAAGTGCTCGTTCGTGGAACAATAAGCTTCATCAAGTACTGGTAGGTGATGGCTTCAAGAGAAGTGAAGCTGATCCATGTTTATATAGCGAGCAGGTTAATGGAAAACGATGCTACATCCTAGTTTACGTAGATGATTTAATCATTGCTAGTGAGGAAGAAAAACTCATCACGTTGGCTGGAAGGATATTAGAGAGAAACTTCGAGATTGTGAGCTTGGGAGAGGTTCCGAATTACGTCGGTATCGAAGTGGAACGTGATAATGCTGGGGATTTTCACATTTCGCAACGAAAATATATAACGGATATCGTGAAGTCAGCTGGTTTGGAGGATGCTAAGTCATCTCCGATTCCCATTGACGTGGGATATTTCAAGCCAAATACTGAAGACAAGCCACTTCCTGATAATACGGAGTAGGTACCAAAAGCTGGTGGGAAAATTGCTTTTCGTGGCTGTTAATAGCAGGTCAGATATAGCTGCTCCTGTATCCATTCTCAGTCGTAAACTGTCGAATCCTACGCAGCGTGATTGGAATGAACTGCGACGAATTGTACGATATCTGAAGGGGTCGATCAACTTGAAGCTTCGTCTAAGCAATCGTGGCGATGATTCTGGTTTGGTTGGATATGCTGATGCGGATTGGGCGGAATGCCGAAATGATAGAAAGTCGAACAGTGGATTTTTATTCAAATTCTGTGGCGGTACTATATCATGGGCATGCCGCAAGCAGACCTGTGTTTCATTGTCAACTGCGGAGGCTGAATTTGTGGCCTTGTCGGAGGCATCACAAGAGGCAATATGGATTCAACGACTTCTACATGATCTCGACGAGGACGTTCAAAATATACAGCTTAACGAGGATAATCAGTCTTGTCTGAAAATGCTGCATACTGAAAAATTTAGTAACAGGACAAAACATATTGATACAAAGTACAATTTTGTCAAGGATTTGTATCAAAGCGGAGTAATCCAGTTCATGTACTGTCCATCGGAAATCATGGCGGCAGATTTACTCACCAAGCCTGTGGCACGCGTTCGAGTTCAACAGCTTAGACGATTGAATGGACTGGAGGACTAAAAAGCCAGTGTTGAGGAGGAGTGTTGAGAAAAATAGCAACACTAAATATTTTTAAATAGATCAGTTAGCACTGAGAGATCGAGTAATTGTTTTTTTAAATAAATTTGTCAGTGTATTTTTATGACAAATAATTATAATCTTGTTTTAACTACGTGTTCACATATATCTGTCTTCTAAAAGTTATCTATTGTTATCTATTACAGATCAGGCAGAAAAGGGCCCTTCGGAGCTCACAGCTTACATTACTGGCTTTCGATACAATCGAATTGTACTTAATTACTAGGTACATTTGTTTGATAGTCATTTAAAAATTATAGCTCCGTTCTTTTCTGCGGAAGGTCTGTCTTAATATTGACGTTGATCCCATTTTTGCTAAAAATTTATTTAAATTTAATCTTTGACATTTCAGATCTAGATATTACAGTGTCCTATTTGTAGTATTTTGAGATCATATATTAAATGTGCCTCTCGATTGTGATATCAATTCTTGTTTATATTCTACCCTGTCCATTATTTTATTTCTTTAGCTTATCAAGACCGAGACACGGATCTCTTAGTTTACGTTGTTTCCCATTTCGGTAAGTAATCTCTTTTCTCTTTTGAAATTTACTAAAGACTAAGTGGCGCCTATCTGATCTACCAGTACTACATTTCCCTTTCGCTTCATTTTTGCTAGTGTACGAAAACCCGTTATTTACCCCAACCCACCTCTACTTTGCCTTTGTTACGTTTGCTCAAAGAAGAAAGTGCCCAACCTCAGGTGTGTAGAAGATTAGAAGAATATTCATAAACATTTTTTAATTGTAGGTTTTCGATAGATAGGTACTACTGCAACGTTCAAGTGAATGAGGAAATTTTTAGTCATAGTGATTAGTGATGCCCCTTATTTGTTGTTAAGATAAGATATGATACCTTAAAGAGGGTATGGAGGATAATCGAGGTTCTTTCACACATTTTACGTTAAATTGGACAAAAACTGGTTTACCTGCTAGCTTTTATTGCTATTACAGTTGGGG